CCAGCACTTCCTCCCTAGTCCTATTCCTCTGGCATCCAGTCCTCTCCAAACTTTTAAGTCACCCTTCCGGTTCTCGAAAGCATCTGAGTTTCTGACTTCTACCCTACATGATGAGGATCAATGAAGGTTTTAGCCCCCAAAAAGAACAATACCATTAGGTCTGTTTTCAAACGCTCAACCCAGGCAGCCAATGGAAGACAGGAGAAGAGTGGTCAGGAGACCACCATGAAATCCACAAAATCCTATTTATGTAAAAATTAAAATAGGGCTACCATCACTGATGGGACCAGGCACTTCCTACAATAAACTGGCACTCCTACAAAAACTCCCACAACACAATTGAAACCGCTGAGTTCTGCATCCGTCCGAATACACGCGGGCGGTGAGGAGGGTTTGAAACCAGGCAGTGTGTAGGGGAGGGAAAAGAAAAAGGCAGAGAGGGATAAAATCGAGAGGTTTTGAGGGAGCATGTGATACCAGGGAACAACGAACAGTACAGGAAAATTGCAGTTTTTTGGTTTATGTCATTAGGTAGATAGATGGTAATGACATTAAAAAATAAGGAAATATAGCCGGGCGTGGTGGCTCACCGTATCAGCACTCTGGAAGGCCGAGGCGGTGGACTGTTCGAGGTCAGGATTCAACAACAGCCTGAGAAGAGCCGAAACGCGGTCCTCTACTATAATAAGAAGAAACCAATTGGCCAACTAAATATATCTATATAAATTCCGGGCATGGGGCGCATGGCCTTATCCCAGCTACTCGCGAGGCTGAGCAAGGATTACTTTGAGCCCATGGAGTTTGAGGTTGCTGGTGAGCTACTGGCTGACGCCACGGCAGCTCACCTATACCTGGGCAAAGTGAGACCTGTCTGCAAAAAAAACAATAAAAAATAAAAATAAAAAGACATGAAGGAGAACGAACGACAGCTGGGGAAAATGATAATCAATTTAGGATATGTTGAATTGTGGAGTCTATAACATGTGGCTTTGCCTCATAAGCACCAATAAATTACCAAAGAAAACTCATCTCCAGCTGTAATGTGATGAAAACTCTCTAACAGCTGAATCCTGAGACGAAAATAAGAGAGACAGGTGTAATTATGTAAAATATTTTTGCAGAATGAATACCAACAGAACTAAGATTAAAATGGAATATTATAGAATTGAATAAAATATTGCAACCAAGATTACAGAGGGTCAATAACTTCATATATAAAAGCATAATTGTAACATACATAAAAAGAACACAAAAAATGTAAACATCCACCAGGTCTCTCAATGTAAGGGGTACACATTTACACCCTGCTCTGTTTCCATTGAGGATTTAAGATGGCTTACTACAAAGTAAACAAACAAAAAAGATGGCTTACTACAAAAATATACATAGTAAAATGATAAAGTGTAAATAATAATAATAATTAAAAGCAAAAATATTTCAGTGTGTCTGGAAACAGAAAAAATAAAAAATAAAAAAAATAAAAGCAAAAATATTTTTTAAAAAATTAGCACCAGGAGAAATCAGAGCTAGGAAAAAAGAAATAAAATATGCAGAAAGTAAGGGCTTTCAGATATACTACTGTTAACAACCAAAGTAAAAAGATTAATACAAGTTACATGACTTCTATTGTTCGTTTCCAGAAAACACAGCAATTTTTCACTTTAAAAAGGTTATTTTTGCATTCTCCCCAATCAAAAAGATAGCATTTCATGATTAAAAAAAAAAACTTTTCTAAACTAATGTCGCTTTATGAAAACTCATTACATTGTCCCTATTTCTCAAATGTGGTGTTACTGCAGGACAGTTAAATTTAAAAAAAACAAACACATTACACCATGACATTTGGGAATATCACTACAATAAGCAGAGCAAAGGATTCCATAAAGCTGCTTTCTTGTGGTACCCTTGAAGAAAACAAACAAGAAAATATCACGATGGGTGGGAGGAGAGCAGAGAGGAGGAGAGCAGGGAGACGGGAGAGTACACACGAAATGGGCGAGGTACACAGACTTCTAGTGGGCCATCCTGATCCACGGAAAGATGCATTCAATATAGAGGAACGGAAAAACCACACATCCTTCAAACTGTAGCATTTGGGCTTTGGTAAAAGTTCAATGAGAGGCCGGGCGCGGTGGCTCACGCCTGTAATCCTAGCACTCTGGAGGCCGAGGAGGGCCGATTGTTTGAGCTCAGGAGTTCAACACCAGCCTGAGCAAGAGCGAGACCCCATCTCTACTAAAAAAATAGAAAGAAATTATCTGGACAACTAAAAATGTATGTATAAAAAATTAGCTGGCATGGGGGCATGCCTGTAGTCCCAGTACTCAGGAGCTGAGACAGCAGGATCGCTTGAGCCAGGAGATTTGAGGTTGCTGTGAGCTAGCTGACGCCAGGCACCTAGCCAAGCAACGGGAGTGAGGACTCTGCTCAAAAAAAATTCAATGAGAGATGAAAAGTAGACAGAGTGAGGTAGAAATCTCTGGTGAGAACCAAAGGTTTATCTGCTGCTGTGTCAGCTGAGCTGGATCTACAGAAATTGGATATCCTCTGAGCACAGTATGGCTGATATCTTCTTATGAAAATTAAGGAGCCTCATTAAAGCCCCCACATCTGCATACAGAAGGTCCCCATAATAAAAGGCCATGTATAAATGACAAAGACATACGGAAAGCAGATACACAGAAATTACTCGCTCACATATGTATTTTTAAAAAACGCAGAAGACAATATCATTTAGCACCTATAAGCTGAGCAAACGTAAAGAATAGCTTTAAAATTCAATATTGTACAGATTTTAAGAATGAATATATTCAAACTTTGTTAGAAAGAACTGAAATATCCCGGAATAAGTAGTTAAATATACTATGATATATTAATCTGTGCAAAAAAATGATTATATATGATAATGTGAATAATATGGAAAGATGCTTATGAAACATTAAGTAAAAAATGGTAAAAAGTGTACCTTCTAGATTACCACTATGTAAACTGTATTTATGGGCATATAGAAAACCACTGGCTGGACCACAGAAGTCAGGAAAAACTCCCCTGAAAAGCTCTATCCACCCAGTCTGGGGCAAGCGCTCAGAACTGCAGGTGGAAGCTGCCATGTCCGGGACTTGTCCTGGACGGACCCCATCTGCACTCAGCTTTCCCCTCCCTTTGCCAGCTCAAGGTCCAACCTCAACCCCAACGTTATCCTCCAAGTCTGACATTTGTTCTCTTCCCATCTCTTCTTCTCACAACACACTGTGAGGTAGATATTATTAGACCACTATGAATAAATGATTAAAGGAATGAATGGTTACAAATTAAAGCTCAAAAGAAATCTTGTTTTCAGATCTTCCAAGCTGGACAAGCTTCTTCTTAGTTCACTAACCCTCTTTAAGGTTTACCTGGGCAGGGCTTCTTGGCTGCCTGAGCAGGGGCAGAAGCCAGAGGGCTGGCATCTGCAGCCCCAGCTGCGTGCGCACCTGGTTTCTCAAGGCTCTCTGAGTGCTCAGTTGTAGACGCCGAGTTATCTTTATTTTCAAGCATCTTGTACAACTTCATATGCTTGTAGGTAGCGATTATCTGAAAATTAACAACACTTGGGATATTCAGTCCTTGGTCCTGCAGCAACTTCAAGGCTGTAGCATGAATGAGCTGATGGGATCGTTTGCAGGTCTGAAGTTTGCACTCTCCCCTGACAAAGGCTTTGCACACGTGAAACTTGTTGCATTAATCCTTGAGGTTGCAGTACCCATAGAGGGCTTCGCCTTTGTTGTAGAGCAAACAGACCTCTGGTAAAAGGCAGGGGTCATTCTGCAAAAGCAAGATCCGAAGCTGGGCTTCATTGAGGCCAAAAAGTCCGTGGTTTTTCAGCACCTGGATGTTGACAGGCATGTGGATATCATGGGAGAGGGTACAGGTAGACCAGCAGTCCCGGTGCGGGCACTTGCCCAGCATGTGCCGGCGGCAGAGGTGCAGCTGGTCGCAGGCCCGGCACTCTCCGCGCTGGTAGCGGGCGCAGAGGCGCGCGGAGGACACGGCCCCCACCCTGCAGGCCGCCGCGCCCCCGCGCCCGCCCGCGCCCGCCGCCGCCTCGGCCTCGGCGTCCCAGAGGCCCTCCTTCATCTCCACCTCCTGCAGCAGGAAGCGGTCGGCCGGCCCGCTGCAGCACGCCCCGCAGCTTGGCCTCCGACAGCGCCACGTGGCCGCGCAGGCCCTGCAGGAACACGCGGCCGCCGTTGCGCACAGCCCCTTGGTGAGGAAGGAGCACACCGTGGGCTCCGCCGTGGCGGCGGCCGGGCCCTGAGCGCGGGGAGCGGGCGGCCTGGCTCCTCCCCGTCACGTCCTCGGTTTCCCTAGAAGTGCTTTCTTTATCACTTGCTCATTCAAGTGACACAGTCTGGGTCAAGTGGTTGAGACATTTGTCAAAAGGCTTAGCTAATTTTGGATAATTAATACTAACTCATAGTCTAGAAAGTCAATAAAGTATTTTCTGGGTTTTTTTCAATAAATCTTTTCTCCATTACATATAAAGGCTCCAGTCAAGCATGACTGATCATAAACCCTATTGACATTAAAATATTTCCAAACATTAAGCTGGAGCATACTGTTTCTGTTTTGCTCTTTTCTTGGAAGATTTATTGAATTTTTAGTTGTGCCCTGGTAATCTAAAGAAATTCAAATGAGCAATCACATTTAAGCAATCAATATACCAAAAATATAATTTTAAGGAATAGATTAGGATAAACTCTTCATAAATCCAACTTTATTTATTTTAACCAAATTTACATAAGCACTCTTACTCAATATTTCAAGGTATCATATAGAAATAGCAGTTAAAATGCTACATCAGCCTATCCCTCATACCTGAACTGTGGCCTTTGGAAGCCATGCAAAGGAAATAAATATATTTTCCTCCATGTTAAAGCCAGCAAAACACACCATAAAAAATGTAGTCGAAATTCTTATCAATATTGCAATTCCCAGGATGGCAACACAAAGACCTGTAAGAAATACTCAGTTTTTAGAAATAATGAAATACTAAGGGAGAAACTGCATCTCACGGTTACTAATTCAAAATCCTATCAACAGAAATAATTTTAAAAACATTAAAAAATTTAAAATATAAAATGGTTAGGCATAATTTATCAAAACAATCTAATCACACCATTAGTTTAAAATATTTCCCCTAGCTTAAATGGAGAAATCAATTAAACATATTTGAATTCTTATATAGCAGATTTGAATATTATATATCTCTTATGATATCATGTGTTTACTTAATAAGAATTGATTAAATAATACGATATATAACAAGCTTTAAACTAGGTACTGGGTACACAAAAATGTATAATGTACAGACTTTGCTTCAGTGGGCCTCAAAGTCAGAGGAAGACAAATAAAAACAACTAATTCATATTCTATATGGTAAGTATAGAGTATAAAACTGAGGGCATGGAAGAGGGAAAAATAATATTTTCATCAAAGTAGTTGAGAATTATTTACAGAGTATAGAGGTGATATTCAAAATATTTATCAGCCAATATGGAAGGAATCAGCCAATCAGACGGAGCTGGCTGGGCACTGACCAATCAGAATAGGCACCGGCAGTCTACAGCTGTCTCAGCATAGTGACATGTACGGATCAGATGTTAGCCCTGGATGACAGACATAGCACTTCATTCAGTCCTTTAGACACCTTTGATGATAAAGACAAGTTCATCCTGATATGAAAAATATAGGATCGTGGCTGGTGATGCTGCATGCTACTAGACCTAACACTGGCGCAGTTAAGCGGACTCCTGGGTGATATTCATTGAGTGTTTACTCTGTGCCAGGTACTAAGCTTTAAGTGCATTGTTGTACTTAATCCTTACAACCTGTGGGGTGATTATCTCATTTTGCAGTTGAAAAACTGAAGTTCACAAAGAATAAATAACTTTTCAAATTCAGAGAGTTTGTGAAACACCAGATAGACATTGTGGGAGGATCTGTTATGAATCTGCAATATTGCTCTTTTTTTTTTTGAGACAGAGTCTCTCTTTGTTGCCCAGGCTAGAGTGAGTGCTTTGGCGGCAGCCTAGCTCACAGCAACCTCAATCTCCTGGGCTCAAGCGATCCTCCTGCCTCAGCCTCCCGAGTGGCTGGGACTACAGGCATGTGCCACCATGCCCGGATAATTTTTTCTATATATATTAGTTGGCCAATTAATTTCTTTCTATTTTTATAGTAGAGATGGGGTCTCGCTCTTGCTCAGGCTGGTTTCGAACTCCTGACCTCGAGCAATCCGCCTGCCTCGGCTTCCCAGAGTGCTAGGATTACAGTGCAATATAGCTCTTTACGTAGAAGTTTTGTGGCTCTTTGTTGAAGGGTATTTCTCCCAGGTTGGTAGGTGTTCAAAAGCATCTATTGCGTGTAACAAGATACAATAGAGTTGATACCATTCCCAGAAGGAAACAATTAAAGGTTTGAAGAAAGGATGATTATTTTAGACATATAGAGTTTGGAGTTCTGACAGTGGTAACCAACCTTTTTGGCACCAGGGACCGTTTTCATGGAAGACAATTTTTCCACAGACTGGGGGTGGGGTGGGGTGAGGTGGTTTCAAGCGGGATGATTCAAGCGCATTACATTTACTGTGCACTTTATTTCTTTATTATTACATGGTAATATATGATGAAATAATTCTACAATTCACCATAGGTTAGGGACCCCTGGACAAGTGATGATGTCCAATCAGCAATTGGCTATATTGATTCAGAGATAAAGATTTTGGTATTATACAGTTTATAATTGGCATCACTAGTGTAGACAAAGTCAGAGAAGTGATATAGAGTGAGAAGCATAGAGACCTTGGAAAGACCTTTGACGAAAAGCAGTGTTTAAGCTACAAAGGGTGTGAAGAAACTCAAAAGGCACTAATTATCAGGGAAATGCAGGTTAAAACCACAATGAGCTATCACCTTACCCCAGTTGGCTTTCATTAAAGTCCAAAAACAACAGATGCCGGAATGGTTGCAGAGAGAAAGGAATGCTTATACACTGTTGGTGGAACTACAAATTAGTACTACCTCTATGGAAAACAGTATGGAGATTCCTCAAAGGACTAAAAGTAGACCTACCATTCGATCCAGCATTTACCCAAAGGAAAAGAAGTCATTTTATCAAAAAGACATCTGCACTTGAATGTTCATTGCAGCACAATTCACAATTGCAAAGATGTGGAATCAACCCAAGGGTCCATCAATTCATGAGTGGATTAACAAAATGTGGTATACGTACTCCATGGAAGACTACTCAGCCATAAAAAAGGATTGATTAATGCCTTTTGCAACAATTTGGATGGAACTGGAGATCATTATCCTAAGTGAAGTATCTCAAGAACAGTAAAACAAACACTACATGTACTTACTATTAAATTGGAAAACTACACTACATGTACTCACACACATGCACAGAGGGAAGTATAATTCAGCAGAAATCAAGAAGAGAGGAGGAAAGAGGAGGGAATAGGTAAAAACCTACCTGACGGGTACAGTGAACACCATCTGGGTAATGGGCACACTTACAGCCTTGACTCAAGCATTACAAAAGCGATCCATGTATCCAAAAACATTTGTACCCCATAATATTTTGAAACAAAAAAAGGCACTGGAAAATATGAAGTTTCGGAACTCAATGTAAAAGAGTGTTTTAAAGAATTCAGTTTCATCATATGCTGCTGAGAGATCCAAGTAAAACAAAGACTGGATTTAGTAATATAATCCTGGTGAAAGTACAATTGGTTATGTGATGAGGCAGAGATGGACTGAAATGTATTGAAGAAGGAAACAGGAGTTGAAGGGGGAAAGAGAAATGTAGTTACCTCTTTAAAAAGTTCCCAAAGAGGGCCGGGCGCTGTGGCTCACGCCTGTAATCCTAGCTCTTGGGAGGCCGAGGCGGGCGGATTGCTCAAGGTCAGGAGTTCGAAACCAGCCTGAGCAAGAGCGAGACCCCGTCTCTACTATAAATAGAAAGAAACCAATTGGCCAACTAACATATATATATAAAATTAGCCGGGCATGGTGGCACATGCCTGTAGTCCCAGCTACTCGGGAGGCTGAGCGAGAAGGATTACTTGAGCCCAGGAGTTTGAGGTTGCTGTGAGCTAGGCTGACGCCACGGCACTCACTCTAGCCTGGACAACAAAGTGAGACTCTGTCTCAAAAAAAAAAAAAAAAAAAGTTCCCAAAGAGGAAGAGAGAGGTGGCATGGTAGGTAGGGAAGAAGTGAAATGGATAAGGAATATATATATATGTAAAAATTTTTAACGTATTTTGGTTTTAATATGTATTATTTTTTTTTTTTTTTTTTTTTTTTTTGAGACAGAGTTCCTCACTTGTTGCCTAGGCTGAGAGTGAGTGCCGTGCGTCAGCCTACTCACAGCAACCTCAGACTCGGGCTCAAGCGATCCTTCGTCTCAGCCTCCCCAAGTAGCTGGACTACAGGCATGCGCACCATGCCGCTAATTTTATATATATATATTAGTTGGCAAATAGTTTCTTTCTATTTATAGTAGAGACGGGTCTCGCTCTTGCTCAGGCTGGTTTGAACTCCCGACCTCGAGCAATCCGCCGCCTCGCCTCCAGAGAGCTAGGATTACAGGCGTGAGCCACCGCGCCGGCTGTATTGATTTTAAATTGTGGTAAAATACACATAACATTTACCATCCTAACCATTTTTATGTGTACAGTTCAGTGTCATTCACACTATTGTGCAACCAATGTCCAAAACTTTTTCATCTTACAAAATTTAAATTCTATACCCATTAATCAACAACTACCTATTTGCCCCTGCTCCCAGCCCCTGGCAATCACCATTCTACTTTCTGATTATATGAGTCTGACTATTGTGGATACCTCACATAAGTAGAATCATACAATATTAGTCTTTTTGTGACTGGCTTATGTCACTTAGCATAATGTCCTCAGAGTTCAACCATGCTGTAGCATGTATCAGAATGAAAGGAATTTGTTTAAGATAAGAGAGAATAGAGACTGTATAAATTCTGAAGAGGAGAAAATTGTGACAAGGATGTTTAAAGATGTATGAGGAAAAAAAAGGATCTATATGCGAGGTTCAGAGAAGGTAGCAGGGGATGGGATTGCTAGTATGGATAAAAGAATATTGTGATGGAAGGAAAAAAGGAAATAATAAGTATATGTATGCAAATTAATTTTTAAGTGCAGTGCTGTGAATCAAGACAGTTTTAATATGATAGCTTTTGAATGTACGAATGAATAACAAAATGAATGAACAACCAAGCATTTATATTCCATTCATTCATATTACAGAACTAGCTATCAATAGTTATCTTTAAAATTCTGGCCTTTGACCAGAACAAGGCTAGATGAATGTTCTTATACTTAGAAAAAAATTTTAAGCCCTAAATTTTCTGGATAGTGGTCAGCAATGTTGCTTTTATATACAAGGAACAATATTAAAGATATAAAATTCACTGTCTTAGATTAACAAGCATTATATTCCAACCAATGACTCTAAAAGACTTAGATCATAATTAACTTTCTGTATAACTGTGACAGTGGGAATCATGATACACACACCTACTGAAAATATTTCAATTGAATATAAAAAGTGGATTTTATTGGTGAGTAGGTTAACAAAAAAAGTGAATTTTAGCAAAAGTACCACTTTGAAATTCTTACCAACAGTTTCTGGTCTGAGAGATGTAATAGATACCTCTGCTCCAATCAGTCCAAAAAGAAGGGGCTGAAGCACATTCCAGGCAACTGCAATTATCTTTTCAAGCTCCACCTAAAAGAAAAACAAACCACACACACACACACACACACACACACACACACACACACAGATTTTTACTATGTGAAGTTACAAATACCAAGAATTTTACTAATTTGAAATTTGAATCATCTGACCTGGGACAGGCTTTATTTCTGTGGCATCTATAACTAAGAGTTTAGCTCAAACAGAGCAAAAAAATTTTCATGAACACATGTTTAATACAGTTAAGATATATGAGGTGCTAATTTAGCATACTAAATATTGGTTTACAAATGGATGTTAATTAGAAAGATTTTTATAACCTTACGAGTACTCCTACTTCTAAAGACACTGTGTGTGTGTGTACATATTGTTATAGTAGTGTTCAATACGTTTATGTTAATATCCTGAAATAAAAAAATAAAATAAAATGATAAAAAAACCAAAGTAAATCTAAAGAAATATGTCTCCTTAGACATCAAATGATAGGCAAGAACTGGTTGTACATCTGATGTATTTTCCCTCACAGTGTAAGGTTTTTCGGCGGTGGCGAAAAGAAAAGAGACACAGAAAGAGAAAGAGTAGGGGGGGGCCAAACCACGTGGCTTTATTATACACTTGTGGACGAGGTTCTGGGGCCCCAAGAGCAGGGGCCCCGGAAGTCGCCACAGTTTGAAGGGGCTGAGGCCTTTTATATCCTTTGGGCCTGGCTAGGGACTTTTGGCGGGAAGAGCTGGGGATTTTAGGAGGGGCTGGAGGTGTTTGTGGAATCCAGGAGCCAAAACATTCTTATCTAGGTGGACATCTGGGTGTGGATCCTCTCAGCAGGGCCTGGCAGTTTTGTCCTTGGCAGGTCAGGTCACTAAGCGTTTTCTTTTTCCATCTAGGGAGGGGAGGGGGCCCCTGCCACCAGCCTTACACACAGCATTATATTAATATTTTAAATTATGTGTTATGAGTAACCCCTACCAGCTGACTGAATGGACCCCCTCGTGGCCAAAGGAATATTGAAGGGCAAAGTTGCCTGCCAGGAGGAGGGAGGTCAGACAGGCCTTATCATTCCCCCTTCCCTTCTTGGAGACTTCCTTTGTAACCATTAACAGGCCTAAGGGTATGCAAGACAACACTGCAGGCCCTCAATTTGCAACAAATGGTGGCTTATCTCTGGTAAACAGTTTATGTTAAAACATTCCAGTCTTTAGACAAAGCTTCATGTCTTTAGCCAATTACAATCTAGGGAATCTTTAAACCCACCTATAACCTGTAAGCCCCCCCCTTCGAGATGGCCCTCCTTTTTGGGCCAAACCAATGTATGCCTCCCACACATTGATTGATGGCTTTAATCATAACCCCTGTCTCTAACTGTATAAAAACCAAACTGTGCTGGCGCGGTGGCTCAGCCTGTAATCCTAGCTCTCTGGGAGGCGAGGCGGGTGGATTGCTCAGGTCAGGAGTTCGAAACCAGCCTGAGCAAAGGAGTGAGACCCGTCTTACTATAAATACAAAAAAAATAATTGGCCAACTAATACATATAGAAAAAATTAGCCGGACTGTGAGGGGTCGAGACATTGCATACCTGCAAGGCCACACACCAGTGAGCCGGGTCAGACATTGTACACCTGCAAGGCCACACCCCAGTGAAGCCGGACTAACATCCGGCTTCTGGAAACTGTGCTTGCTTGCCATGGAAACGTTGCTTGCTTGCTTGATTGCGCCAACTTTGCATTGTTCGGACCCCTGTATAGTGGGGCTGCCAGCCAACCAATCATGTTAAAGGTCAATGCATGATCCACGCGTGATCAGCACTGCATAGCGTATGCACCATAGGGATAAAGGCACGCTGAACCCAGTCGGGGTCCTTGCCTGCAGAGTGACCACTGCGTTGGTGCTCTGGGCTTGGACCCTGGCTACAAAATAAACCTCCTCTTGTGTAATTACATCCTCGATGTCTCTGCTTTTCTGTCGGGTGGGGCTGTGGGAAGTCGGTCCCTAACATTTGGGGTCGTCGGGATTTGCCTTCCTTACAGAACTACCGGATAGAAATCAGGGCTGAGGGAGGAGTGTGAAAATCCACCCGACTAGCCGGGTGTGGTGTTGGGCAAGGACGCGGAATCCCTTGCAGGACCCGGATCAGGACGGCCGGCACAGGACTAGGCGGACGCGTGGTGGGTCGCCGGTCGAGCAGGCGAGACGCCTCTGGCCCCGTTGGGACTCCGGAGCTGACCTTGTAGCCTAGGCTCGTCAGGAGGAGCTGGAGTGACCTTGTTGCAAGGGCTCGGTCAGGAGGAGACCGGGGAGCAGGTCCGGACCAGGTTAGGTTGTCTGTTTACCTCACTGTCCACTTGTCTGTTGTCTGCTTTGTTTTTCGCCGGCTTTCTGTGTGTGTGTGAGTGAGTGTGACATCTCTCGTTGGTTGTTGGAGTCTCTGGGTTCTGTGGTTTCGGCCCGAGAACCATCAGGGTTGCATGGGTTTTCGGGCTGGGGCCGTGGAATCAGGGACCACGAAAGATCCGCAGAGGTGATAGAACCTCAGGTGAGTATTCCCTGCATGCTGGCAGCACACAGTGTATCTCTGCCGCCGTGCCAGGAGTGGCTATGCGGGGGGCACGGCCGTTACCTCCGTAGGAGTGTGAAAGGCTAGAGATTAAGATCCTTGTCCCAGGCCCCAACTGCGGAATATTGGTTTGCACTGCCTATTATTGACTAGCCATGGGACAGGCTCTAACAACGCCGTTGTCAACCTGGTGAGCCATTTTGAGGATGTCAGGGCAAGGGCACACAACCTGTCCTAGAGTCAAGAAGGAAAGTTTGTTACCCTTTGTGAGGCGAGTGGCCCACGTTTGGAGTGGGGTGCCCGGAGGTCGTTTGGTGCCTCCTTGATCAAAAAGGTAAAAGGGTGGTATTTGGCCACCGGACACCCAGATCAGATCCCTATATTGTGGTCTGGAAGAGTGGGTTGAGACCGCCATCCTGGCTAAAGGCCCCCCTACCTGCCCGAGGGGAAAGGCGAAGTTCTGGCAGTTAAAGAAGTCAGAAAGGGGGGGGCACGGAGTCCGAGGTCATTGGGACCAGTGTTGCTGGACTCCAATCTCTACCAGACCTGACGAGTCTCGAATGAACACGCCTCACCCTATAATCCTGGGGCAGCCTCTGCAGTCCCCGGCCCAGGAGGACGCGGGACCACCAGCAAGCGGCTATGAACCAGACAGCAGACTGGCCGGGCCAGACCGGAGCCTTAAGGCGCTCCCTCTGAGAGCAGTGGGACCCGGGAAGGACAGAGCACAGACATTCCAATATTGGCCCTCTCTACCAGTGTATCTTTATAATTGGAAGGCTCAAAACTCAAACTTCTCTGAGAACCAGAGATCTCATTAACTTTTAGATTCTGTTCTTTTTACACATCAGCCACTTGGGATGATTGCCAGCAGCTGCTCAAGGTGCTTTTCACCACGAAGAAAGAGAAAGGATTCAGGGGAGACACGGAAGCTGGCCCGGGTGAAGATGGCAGACCTGCCACGACATCGCAGCCATTGATCAGACCTTCCCTTGAATGGCCACCCTGGGACTACAATGAGGCTGAAGGTAGGGTCTCCAGGTTACCGCCAGACTCTGATGGCGGTCTCCTTATGGCGCGAAGCCACAAATTTGCTAAGGTAGAGATGTTCGTCAGGGCTGGAGGGAGAGCAGGCAGCATGCTTAGAGAGGATCATGGAGGTCTTCCGGCAGTACATCCCCATAGATCCCACTATGGAAGGCAGCAAGCCACTGTTATGATGGCGTTTGTTAATCAGGCAGCCCCAGACATCAGGCGCAAGGTGCAGAGAATAGATAGATTAGGCAAAAAGACTCTGCAGGACCTGTTAGAAGTGGCAGAAAAGGTCTATAACAATAGAGAAACGCCAAAAGAGAGGTTAGAGAGGATCGGGATAGAAGATAGAAAATTCCAAGCTGGAGGCGCGTAAAGCAAACAAGAAATGGCAAAAATCCTGTAGCCACCACGAGAGGGGGGCAGAAGTCAGAGGAGAGGAGAGCCCGGCAAGAGAGGCTAGGCAAGGATCAATGTGCTAAGTGGCGAGCGAGCATGGGCAAGGCCGAAAATGCCCAAAAAGAAAAGGGGGCGAAGACTTAGAGGTCTGAAAAAGTCATGGTTGCAGGACAGGTGACAGATGAATAGGAAAGACGCGTTCAGTCCCTCCCAACCTAGGGTAACTTTGCAGTAGAGGGGAACCAGTCAGCTTCCTCATAATACAGGAGCTAAATTATATCGGTGACACACGGCGGAGATTAATTTGGGTTCAGGACAAGTGAGTCACACCTTTATGGTCTCCCTGAGTGCCCACGCCGCTACTGGGAAGAGACATCCTTACCAGCTTAAGGCATTCAACAGCCCGGGTCACTCAGATCCTGACCCTGACACAGGCAAATGAATATAGACTGTACCAGCCATAAGAGCGAGAGAAAAAGCATGGAACAATGGCTCTGTAAATTTCCCATGGCATGGGCCAAGACAGGGGCACAGGATGGACAAAAACGCCGCCTCTTACGTTGAGTTAAACCCGGAGCCGAGCCAGCCCGAGTCAGACAGTACCCCATGTCCCAGGAAGCAGAGTGGGAATTACGCCCAACATTCAGAGACTCCTGACAGTGGGATTCTCCAGAAATGCCAGTCGGCTGGAACACCCCCTGTTGCCGGTGAAGAAACCGGGGTGTAAGGACTAAAAGGCTCGACCTCTGTATAAAGGGTGTAGGGCAGGGCGAGCATGAGGAGTGGACTGTGCAAATGGAAGACTCTTTTCAGCCCTGAGGAGGCTTAAAAGCCCCGGCCTAGCACTCCCTGACAAAGAGTCTCACCTGTTCATAGAGGAGAGAGGGAATAGCTAAGGGCGTACTCACACAGGCTAGGGCCCTGGAAAGGCAGTGGCTACTTGTCAAAAAAAAAAAAAAATTAGATCCCGGCGGCGGGGTGGCTGCGTGCCTGCGAATAATCGCAGCCACAGCCTGTGGTCAAGGACGCTGACAAGCTTACTCTTGGG